CCAGCCAGCTGCTTATATTGGGTAGGACAAAGAATACATGGGGAAGTAGGCAAAGGGAATAAGAATGGGCATGCAATATCGATATTACAGGTGCAGGAAAGTAGGCAATGTGGGCTGGGGGCTGGAGGCGGGATGCCATTGTTCGGGCAACAAGGTTGTTAATCTTTCCATGATAATAGGCAGCTTTCTAAAGAGAAAGGCCCATATTGCAAGGTTGACTCCCAGGTCAAAAGGTTGACTCCCAGGTCCCTGGGCATACAACTCCTGGCCAGGTTAGAATGTGCTTTCTTTAATTAGAACAAAACGATCAGGGTTAACAGAGCATGGTTAATATTTCTTATAACATATAGCTAGTCTCCAATATTCTATTTCTGCTCTTAACAGTCTCACCTGTGTCTCTGCCTTAATAGTGTGCTGTTCTCAGCAGACTTGAAATTTGTGGGCACATGGCAGGGGTGGACAGGAAGAGCAGGGGCAGACACTGGCTGAAGCTACAGTCCTGGATACAGAGTTCTGCCTCCTTGCCCCTGCCCTGCGAGTTCCCCAGTCAAAGTATTACAGGCAGTTAGACAGATATGAGCAGAGAAAGGACAATGGGCCAGATATAGAAGGTCACCAAGGTGAAAAACCACAGGTGCCTAGCAAGGGACAATGAATTATAGGGGGGGGGCCTTGCCTTCAGGGTGACTTTTCCTCCCCTAGCATATTGGTGGTCTTGTGGTTTGGACCCCCCTGACCTTCCCTCCTTAGAGATAACATCTAGGCCTCAAGTTGTATTTCAACTCCAGGCCCAGATAAGCAATAAAACCAGCCCCAGCTGACATCAGAATTAGCTGCATGGAATAATTACCCCTCCCCTGGTGCTGGCCAACAAATCAGTAGAGACCACAACCCTGAATGGACACACCAGGAGAGTTTCTAAATATTCTATTGAGATCTTCCCCTGGGATCTCCCCTAAAATCTTCACCCTTGAAACTCTGTGGATGGAGGACCCAGCAGGCTTTCCCTCAAGGAGTATGCTCATGTCTTTTTTTTCTTTCCTGAAGCAGTTACAAGAAGATGGGGAACTACGTCCATTTCTCCTTTGTAAGAATACAATGAGATTCCTTTTTTTCTCTGGAGGTAATGGCACCATTGTAATTAACCTCGTTATTAACATCAGAAAAAGAGCAAAAAGAAGACCAAATATTATAGACATGCCATTTCAGTAGCTTCACCAGGAAGCTACAACTTTATACTCCCCAGGGGTCCAAGAGAGGGTAGATAGACACATGCCTAGTAAAGTTGGAATGACATCAGGAAGATATTTTCCTGTCAGTCACTCCTGGGAACAGACCATTGGTCAGAATAGGCATGGCCACTGCAAGGGTGTAACATTTTGGGTATTTAATCCCCTGAACAAAGTAATTCACTCTCTTGGTTTCTCTTGTGCTCTTGGTTGCTCTTGGCTATCCTTGGGACTCTTGTTGCTTGGTGCATGCTCTCTTGCCTCCCTCATGTTTCCTCACATGGCCCATGGCCATGTGGACCTCCACACACAATGGACAACATCAGATAACTAGTCTGATGCTGAACTGGAACTGGCTGCAACATGGAATAGAGACTTTGGATACTAACTTTGCCTTTAGATTTGCTGAATCCCCAGCTACACTTCTTCTAGGAACTTATTAAGGGCAATGGAACTTTTGAAACCCAGGGATGTAATTACATGCAAATAAAAATCATTCATCCTCCCCTGTGTCTCAGAATACTGTTTTTCTTGAGATATTGTAAGGACTCCAACCTCAGCAGTTTGTGTTGTTACAGTCTACTCAATTTCCCTGATAACATTATTATGACTGGAGAGAAACACAATAGAATTTTTAAAATAAAATTTCTGCATGGTGGCAAAATGGATTCATTTTATTTTCCTTTTACTTTTTCTTTCCCACATTTTCATAATAAGCATGAATATCTTTTCATAATAAAATAAAGAATAAACAAAGATGTATATAAAAGGGCGAGGGCTATGCCCTCCATCTTGCCCGTATCCTCCATGTTGGGGCAGCAGCCATGTGCTACCTTCTTCCCGGAAGCCCAGGCCTCTGCTGGCCATGCCCGGGATTTAAACTAACCAATGACAATCAAGGGACGTGCACGCCATAGAGATGACCACATCCTGTGTAACAAGACCCGACTTGCGCCTGGCCAATCGGCAGGGCCCACAGTCAGCCCCCCCCCCCCCCCCCCCCCCCCCCCCCCTATTAAAACCCTGTTTTTCCCAGGGGGTTTCACTCTGCTTCCTGCCACTGCGTGGGCCAGGAGGGGGAGTCGAGCTAGCTAGCTCAATAAAGGACCTTCTGCTTTTGCATTGGACTGGCTGGCTCCTGGTGTGGTCTTTGGGGATCTTGAAATCTGGGCATAACAGTATACACACATGCATACACTGAAAAAATATTTTAAACAATAAAAACAACTACTGGAGCTCGGTCTGCAGCTTTTCATCCATTCCCATCGCTTCCTACGGTCACTGGTCAGACCTCAGCTGCCAAAATGGTGAAGCAGATCGAGAGCAAGTATGCTTTTCAGGGAGCCTTGAACAGTGCAGGAGATAAGCTGGTAGTGGTTGACTTCTCTGCCACGTGGTGTGGGCCTTGCAAAATGATCAAGCGCTTCTTTCATTCCCTCTCTGAAAAGTATTCCAATGCGGTGTTCCTTGAAGTAGATGTGGATGACTATCAGGATGTTGCTGCAGAGTGTGAAGTGAAATGCATGCCAACCTTGCAGTTTTTTTAAAAAAGGACAAAAGATGGGTGAGTTTTCTGGCGCTAATAAGGAAAAACTCGAAGCCACCATCAATGAATTAATTTAATCATGTTAACCAGCCATTGGTGTGGGAAACTGTTTATTGCCTTCACTATCTGATAAGCATAGACAGAGAACCCCCGAAGGCTGGGTGCCTTTGAAGCCCTAGCAAAGGTCTGAGCTAGGCGCCACCTCTGTTTGTCCAGACAGTGGTAGCTGAAGCAACTTCCCCATTTATTATTATTATGTAAATCCTTGCTGATGTGCTAGTCTGCCTGTTGCCAGGGGTCACCTGCCTAAGGGCTATGCTAGGAGTGCATCCCAGATCAATAAAAGCTTGGTGAGGCCTGAGCACAGGAGGAAGTCCTTCCCCTTGAGTTGGACTTGCCCGACGGTCCCCCAATATTCCCAAATTATCTCTTGTCTTTTCATTTTCATTTGTGTGCGGCTCTGCTTCCAGTTCCTGAACCCTGATCCACGTGGGACGTGGGAAGGAAACACTCAACACATTGGCTCTTGTAATTTTTTTTTATTTACAAAAAAAAAAATAGATCATGTATAGAGACTATAGATTCAACTACCATCTGATTATAAATGACAATAAAATATTAATTCTACCCTTTTTAAAACTGTCTGGTGTCTTGACTAGCTTTCAAAATAAATGAAAAGTGGCCAATTAAACAAAACAAAAAACAAACAAACAAAAAAACCCAACTACTGGGTTATTTTGGACCTAAAATTTCCATGTTAATACCATTTTTCATTGAAAGCAGAATCAAGGAAGGTCTTGTGGTAAAATATAAAATATTACACAGTAGAGGGTTACCTTACTCATTATTAACACTCCAGTATAAAAAGTGTATCTGATTTTTTAGCCTGGCAGACTGAAGAATATTATCCTGAGGGTATGGGGGACATGAATGTGGACAAAAAGGGGCCACATGCTAACCTGACAAGCTCAGGGAAGGCCTGCATGGCTGCCTTGCAAACTCAGAGACCTGAAGTAACCACCAAGGATGGTATGAAATTAAAACTTTTAAACTAAAAGCAGTTCATGGCAGGTTAGAACTTACCTGACAAAAGTCAATCTTTACCTTATCTGAGCCTGTGCATTGTCTTTTTGCATCTATGATAATATACCTTTGGACTGTCAGGTTAACTCCCCTTTTTCCAGATCCCCAGGCCACAACCAATGCACCAGAGCAGAGACTACAAATCTTCTCATTATTATTTTTATCATGTTAATTGGACACTATTAACTATCCTGTACCCACTTAATGTAAAAGATGTATCTTTTTACTTTTTATCCACTCAGATATTTCCCAGCTTTGCTTTCTCCAACTCCCTAATCTACCATTACTTTAATGTAACCCATTACTTCTTGTCTTTTGATTGTAACGTATAAAATAAGCTACAAAATTGCCTTTCTCAAGAAGATTTTGCTTTCTGGCAATTGTTGACAGTTTGGCTCAAATAAACTAACAAACATTTTTTACAGATTTCTTACATTACCATATAGGTAGATTTGATGCAGAAAGGCCCCGTGGTGGGCACAGCTCTCAGGTAATTGCCTGGTAGGAAGTGAAACTGCAAAAGTTTCTAAGATAGAAAGAGGTGATTTGGCATATGGGGAGGATTAAAAAGAATGAGGCAGGAGGAAATACCAAAACAAACTTGCTTTATGTTTTGCCTACATCCTATGCTGCAACAAGCACACTTGTTCATATATCTTTGTGCAAATATCTGATTTTTTTCTTCAGTATATAAACTGGAAGTAAAAATACTATATCAAAGGTTATGGATAATCTAAGACTTTTGATGGCCAATTTCAGGCACATTCTAGATCAGTGGTTCTCAACCTTCCTAATGCCACGACCCTTTAATACAGTTCCTCATGTTGTGGTGACCCCCAATTTCATTGTTACAAATTGAACATAATTAAAGCATAGTGATTAATCACAAAAACAATATGTAATTATATATGTGTTTTCCAATGGTCTTAGGTGACCCCTGTGAAAGGGTCGTTCGACCCCCAAAGGGGTCGCGACCCACAGGTTGGCGACCCATAGGTTGAGAACCACCGTTCTAGATGAAAAGCCCTGTTTACTCTGCACCAGGATGAGAGCACCCAGTCATAAGAATTTTTGTGAGACTTCATACAAAAAGGAAAAGCCAGCCACTATCCAGGACCTCTGCTGACTTTTCTGAAAAAGTCCAGCTAGATTATTCTCTGGAAAATGTTAGGACTTTTAGGAAGACTTAAGTAGTTGTGTAGGAAGTGATTTTGAAGTCACTTATTCAGAGGAACAGCTGAAGAAATCTTAACATGAACATAAAGCATAGCCATTACCAGGGCTTAACAATCAGGATCAGATTTTAGCTTGCATGTTCAAGCAGACTTCTTTGTTTACAACAGTTTAATACAACTGTCTGCAGGGGTCAAATTAACTGAAAATTAGCTCTGGCAGGCTAACAGTTTTAATTGTCATTTAATAGACCTATTTCCTAAACTCCTTAATATCCTTTGTTGATTGTGATTGTTAAGGGTCCCATAAGTAAATCTAATTTAAACTGGTGCCCAATTTGGCTGGGATTGAAGAACTACTGGGTGGCAAATGTGGAACAAAACTGTGTAAAATTCCCTTCATCTATTGGTGATTAAAGCATTTGAACTTTAATATTTAAATTTGGCCCATCTGGAATCCTTAAATGAAAGTTTTAACTCTCAGAGAAAAGATTTGAAAGTTTATGTCTTCCCCTGAAGGCTTTAAAAGGCAGTCATCAATTAATAAATGAGATCATTGGTAAAATAAAATTATTTTTTAAACTGGATTTTAATATGCTCATATCTCAACCTTGGCTTAGTGTTTAGGATAAGAAGATGCTGGTTATTTGTATAACCCCTGGGAGACCTGTAATGATGGAGGGAAAATAAATAATAATTCTTCAGCCACTCATGCATAGAAGATTACTTTCAATAGGCACATAAATTATCCCTGTGATTCTTCCCTTTGGGGAGACACTTGGAGTCTAGAACAATAACCAGAAAGTATGTAATAGATCGATATAGTCTTCTTGTTGTTATTCCTCTCTTCCCTCCTTCTCTATAAGGTCATTCTTGTCTGTTAAAAAGAGTCTGGATATATGTTCTTCTGTAACAGACTAAAGGCCCAGTGCACAAAATTTGTGCAAGGCCGGGAGGAGGGTCCCCTCAGCCCAGCCTTCACTCTCTCCAATCCAGGACCTCTCGGGGGATGTCCAGGGATCGGGCCTAAACTGGCAGTCTGACATCCCTCTCACAATCCTGGACCACTGGCTCCTAACTGCTCACCTGACTGCCTGCCTCTGCCTGCTGGCCTGATCGTCCCCAACTGCCCCCCGCCCACCGCCGGCCTGGATGCCCCCAAATGCCCCCACGCTGGCCTGGTTGCCCCATGCAGCCTGCTGCTCGGTCCTTTGGTCACCCCTCACTAACCCCCCTGCCAGCCTGGTCGCCCTACACAGCCTGTTCAGTCGTCCCTTCAGTTGCGACGATTGCTTAGGCTTATATAGATAGATGCTGGGCTCACCGTATTCTGCGTGAGTTTCTCAAATCTTCACAGGAGATTGAGTCCTGCCACAAAAATCACTGGAGTCTCTCTGAGACATAATTATGGATTATATTATTTTTGTTGCCAGTGACTTAAAAACAGGTTCATTATACATATGAATCAGAAAGGAGATCCTACAATACACTCCCATCCACGGCCTTAGGATATTCCTCCAACCTTTAAGAAAATGCAGCACTTTGGTTATATCTGAAGTTGAACAATTTTGTCTGCAAATACCTAACACACATGTTTTTACCCCAATAGTCTTAGATATAATAATTCAATTGAAAAAGTCACTGTCAGGTGGGAAAACCTTTTGAGAATTGATGCAGTGGTGCAGTTGATAGGGAATTTTTGGACTGGAACCTGGATTCTTTGTCCACCGGAGTTGAAGAATGAATCCACGGACAGAGGGTATTATAGCAAAGGTGGAAATTTATTGAAGAACAAGTGCAGACTCCCACGTGGGGAGAGGGAAAGAGTCCCACCGACTTCCTGTTTTCATGGTTTATAAAGGTTGTAGTTCTTGTGTCCTGATATCCCCTCTGATTGGTCAATATTCCCTTTCGAATTGGTTCCTATAGTGACTCCTGAGGCCCTCCTCCCTCTTTGTCCTCCTATTCCTTCTGGGCTTTCTTCCTTCTTTTTTATTTTGTAAAATAGACCTTTTTTTGGCTACTTCCAGTTCCCTTTTCTTATGAAAATATTACCTATTGCTGCTTCCTTGTCTTATGTAAATGCAGCTGGAAATGTAACTGCACCTGGCTTCCTTGTGTTATGGAAATGTATGTCTGTACCCTATGTTTTTTCCATGGACCCCAATTCTAAAAATTCCCTAAACCTGCCTATGTTCCCCTAAAATTCCTGTTTCACAGTCTTCAAAATCTATGGTTAATAAACCATCCTGGGTAATAATAAGATGAGTGATGGAGAAAATAAAAGTATCTAATATGAAAGATAAAATAAGTTTCTAGATGATAACTTACATTTATAAGTACATGTTTGATTTTACTTTTCTAGTTCTGAATGGACTTTACTATAAGCTCATTCACAAAGTGGCAATTATGATTTAAATATAAAACCAATGGAATTTGCTGTGATAAAATTTTTTGCCCTCATATTTGCTGATGAATAACAGGGTAATCTATAAAGAAGCACATTTTATTTTTACTTTTGTTAATAGAAGATGCAAAAGATAATGATGTAAATCTGAAATAATTAAACATTTATCAAACTTCTGAAAAAGAACTCATTATAACTCTATGGTTGAGAAATATATTCTGGTTTACTTTTCTGAGGTTCAAAGGCAAAGGCTATGAGCTGTGAGCGGGAGCTCTTTGCTCATTTGAAGTAAATTGCTTTGACAGTGCATAAGAGAGAGGAGAGCACAGATAATTAGGTTCAAAACAAGTGTTTGCAGAATGAGGACAGAAATATTTTTGCACAGATTTAAAAAATGTGTAAATGAATAATTAGGTTAAAGGTTATATCTTAGAAAAGATACAAATAAGGATCATCATTTAGTTAGAGCATAAGAGGGAAAGAATATTTGAATATTCACTTGGTAAACACAACTACCTTCTCTGATCATAGCTGAGCATTCAGGGAATTCTGGCATGTGCAGAAGTAGGAACCATTGCTGGAGCCCTGCATATACTCCTCAGTCCACTCCAAAGGTCACCTACAGTTTTGGGGGGCAGTTCCCAGCCACAGTGAGAACTTTCTCCCTCAACATTTGGGTCTTTCTGCCAGAAGGTATTCTCTAGCCACAGCACTGTATCTTACCTGTGCACTGTGCAGGCCAGAGGCACGTGGGGAATCAAGGAAAGTCCCAGAAGCAAACTTCAAACAATGAGGAACATGAGTTGGTGGGTAAATGTCCCTCAGTGGGACAAATCTGGGATATGAAATGAAGCATTTCAGATGGTCCTGATTTAACTGAGGCA